GATCAGACAATGCTGCTAATCAGAGATCTCAAATAAAAGTGACAGGTGAAAAAAATACTTACCTACAGAAGTTGTCACCTGGGCTTTAACCAATATTTTGCGGAAGGGATCGTCATTCCCTGACACGGACTGTAATCATAGTAGCACTCTGCTTAGTATTATAAGACCAAGGACTTTTATCTGCTGCCAGATAATGACATCTGATGTACTCCCTTGTCCACCTAGCTATGCAAGCATATCAAAATAAGAGTCCCCAGCCTAAACCCTATCATTTGCACTTCAGTTAGGCTTAATGGAAGAAGCCCAGTTCTTTTCAGATGGCTGTGTTGCAAGTGGTCGTGTGTCTTGGCGGTCTGCTTATCAGTGATCTACATCAGATAGTACCAACACAGGTTAATACATCTACATAGCCACTTGCTTGGTGGTGGTTGTTTTTTTTTCCCCATCTCAGTACAATTTTCTGAGAAAGGGGAACTGTAAAGACTTGGAATACTTCACAGGCTCTGCCCCAGGCTGCCCAATCCTGCCTCTTGCATGGGTGTAAAATGGCAGCGTTTCTTCCAGCTGAATAAGGACCAGTGAGGATGGGCTGTGATTGGAATTTCCCTCCAGGGGGCATTGAGGATGGGGAGGGTGGGACAGCCTCAGGGGTCTGGCAGGCTGAGGGTGGATACCAAGGCGATAGGAGACTTGTACATTTCTAGCACTGGGGTGGGGTGGGAGATAAATGATTCTTTTGCCTTGTCTGAGGGACTCTAATTCTGAAAGAGCGAACAGAAGCAGTAGTATTGCAAGGGCTCCGATTTCAGTTCTGCCAATCTAGTCAGAGCCCTCCTTTGTTCCAGCACCTCCCTAGCATGCAATGTTCTTCCCTCTTTACCGCTGAAAACTCAGCGTGCCCAAGCGCCTGTTGAAAGAACAGGAGTACTTGGGGCACCTTAGAGACTAACAAATTTATTTGAGCATAAGCTTTCGTGGGCTACTGCCCACTTCTTCGGATGCATATAGAGTGGAACATATATTGAGGCGATATATATACACACATACACACAAGCGCCTGTTGTTAAACACACCTCAGTGCTAAAATACAGCGAGAGAAGCAGCATCGTACAGATCTACACACACACACACACACTGAGGGGATGGGCACTGGGGAGCTCCTCAAACGTGGGGGTACGCTTTCATCCAGCTGGGCTGTAAAAGGAGTGATTTACAAACTCTGCAAAGCACAGCAAGCGTTAGTTACAACAGCTGTGTGAGGTAGAATCGGTGACATTGTCCGCACCAGCAGTTTTTGGACACCTTATTCTATTATACCCTTTCCTCAGTTCTCCCCACATCAGCTCTACAGAAGGCATTTTTATTATCATGTTGTCTAACCCAGTGGTTCTCAAGGAGGGGCATGTCTTCTGCCCCTGAAAGGACACAGAGGTCTTGAATTCTTCCAGGTGATACATCAACTCATCTAGATATTTACCTAGTTTTACAACAGGCTACATAAAAAGCACTAGCAAAGTCAGTACAAACTAAAATTTCATACCGACAATGACTTATTTATACTGTTCTATATACTGTATACTGACATACGTACAATATTTATATTCCAGTTGATTTATTTTATGATTATATGGTAAAAATGAGAAAGCAAGCAATTTTTCAGTAATAGTGTGCTGTGACACTTTTGTATTTTTATGTCTGAGTTTGTAAGCAAGTCGTTTAAGTGAAGTGAAACTTAGGGGTACGCAAGACAAATCAGATTCCTGAAAGGGTGCAGTAGCCTGGAAAGTCTGTGTACCGCTGGTCTAACCCTACTCAGAGGGCATTTGAAATCACACAGTGGTAAAAATACCTGTGTCTGGTCAACACAAGTTCTTGGACCATAACGAGTCCCAGTTGATCTACAATGGTGGAGACAGTCTGAAAATCCTGTTGACAAGGCCACTGAAGTTAAGTGATATATACTCAAGGGCACGTAGCAAGCCAGGTTGAGAAGCACAGTTAGAACTTGAGAGTTCCTCGATTAGCCCACTAGACCACACTGCCCACTTTAAAAGAAGAATTGCTATACCACCTATTGTTGCTTTCTCAATTAAATGCTCTGTGTTATTTAGCTGTGTCACTAACCTGCCAGAGTCCAGGAGTGGCCAATTCTTTATACTGTAAGAGTTGTCAGAGTAGCAGCCGTGTTAGTCTGTATCCGCAAAAAGAACAGGAGAACTTGTGGCACCTTAGAGACTAACACATTTATTAGAGCATAAGCATCCGAAGAAGTGGGCTGTAGCAGTCGTGATTGCGATCGTGCCTTTTTTTTTTTTTTGCTTGGGGCAGCAGAAATGCTGGAGTCAGCCCTGGCTCAGTGTTTCTCCACAACTGGTCCGTGGACTAGCACCGGTCCCTGAGATTTCCCTGACACTACTTAGGAAGGTAGCAAGCCAGGCCCTGGTATCAAAAAGGTTGAGAAACTGAATTAGCACACACAGCGCCTTGATTCGGCATTGAGCTCTGCAAGGGTGTGTAAGTCAGCTGTCTGCATGAGAACAATGAGGAGTCCGGTGGCACCTTAAAGACTAACAGATTTATTTGGGCATAAGCTTTTGTGGGTAAAAACCCCACTTCTTCAGATGCTTATGCCCAAATAAATATGTTAGTTTTAAGGTGCCACTGGACTCCTTGTTTTTGTGGATACAGACTAACACAGCTGCCCCTCTGATACTTGTCTGCATGAGAGTGCATGTGGTCAATTCTTAACCATTAGCCCAATCCTGTAAATACACATATGCTTAAATTTACTATTATGAGTTATCCCATCAAAACCAATGGGATTACTCATGGTACTAAAATTAACTATGGAAGGGTTTGCAGGATCCTTTAGATAGGATAGGGGTACAGATAGATCAGACTAGGCAACTCCCCCCCAAATCAGGAATTGACAATGCGACAGATGGACTTGGGGGGCTCACAACCCTAACAGTAACAGAGGGTCCTGTGGCACCTTTGAGACTAACAGAAGGTGCCACAGGACCCTCTGTTGCTTTTTACAGATTCAGACTAACACGGCTACCCCTCTGATACTTGAACCCTAACAGTGTGTCACTCTAACCTGGATGGATCGTATCCACTCCTGCCAGAGACCAGAGTGCTCTGTCTCTCTTTTATTTACACGTTAGCAACACTTTTATAGCTTGTCCTGCTAATATAGTGTCAGTGGATTTATGTCTACAGATGTACAGCAATATAAAATGCATCTAACCTTTAGATTTCCCTCCCAATCACTTTTTTGTTGTCTTTTGGCACAAAGAAAAGGAACAAACTTAAAGGTGCATTCACACCTAAAGCTCATTTTAAAATGATCCCTCTGTTGGGTGAACAAATTCTTCATCGCAGGTGTTAATTATGTGCTAATTTACTTAAATTCTTCATGATGAGAGCGATTATGGAAGGAAATGTGCTGCAGCTAAAACCAAAATGCCACACTTGTAAATAGTAACTGTTGTGCACTAAGAGAGAGTAAAGACCATTGTAGTGTGATCATCAGACTTGTAGAAAGTTGTGAGAGTGTTAAAGGTCACATTCTGTGCTTAGATAGGCAGGATGGGCTCCCATTGACTTCAATAAGAGTCTAGCACGCTTATCTCAGAACAGAATTTGGTTGCAAGGCATCAATTTAAAAGCAGCTTTGTATATCTAAGAGGCTGCCAAATACAGCTAGGAGTGGGTTGGGAGAAGTGGAAGGAATGCAGAAGATGGAAATCAAAGGTAGGAAGTGGTTTAAAAACTGTTAATTCATTTTTTTAGAAGGGACACAGTCTACCCAATACAAACTATGAATTTTTAAGCTTGTAACTAACAGCTAAGGTTTCCCTAAACAAAGAACATTAGAGAAGGCCTGTCTCTTCAGTTTAATTTGTATATTTGATTGCACCCAGTTTGTATCTAGTCAGTTTCTGAGAATCTTTACACAGCAGCAGAGGGAGGGGGAAAAAATAGAAAGATGTTCTTGTAAAGACAGAAACTGGCCAATAGACTTAAGAGCAGGTCTAGTGCCTCAAACCTCTTATTTAAATGAACTAGATTTGACAGTGTCCTCTTAACACTCAAAGCTCAGCAGTTTGTTTGTTTTCATGCTTTTCCCCCTGGGGAGCAGAGAAGAGGAAGCTAGTAAGCTTGGAGGCTTAAAGGCTTCAGAAGATGGCTGGCAGCTAGTGGCTGTTTTCTAGCCATTATTTACTGTTGGGGTTTTTTTTTTTGGTAGGAGTGACTGTATTGGTAACTGGTAGTTCTGAGAAGAGCAAGCACATGGAATTGTTCGCCCCGTTCCTTCCTAGGAATGGGCTTGCATTCTGCCATTACACCTGTCTCCACCTTCTCTTTCTGGTAAGTCTCCACGGACACTGTTGCTTCCATGTATTTAAGTCTGTTTCTACAACTTTATAGCCTATATCCCAAGGGGTCTGGCTACCATGTAGCAAGTCATTAGGGGCGTGACCCTACAAACACTTGAATATAGTTAGTTGGATGGGTGTCAGTGGTAGTATTCAGAGACCTGAGTAGGACATGTGGTCATGTTTCCAGGATCGTGCCCAAAGCACCGGATTTTTAAAGGTATTTAGATGTCCAAAGATCCAAATAGGAGCCTAGTGGGATTTTCAGAAGTGGCATGGGGAAGATGGGGGAGGGGGCGGCTATCTTTAGGCACCTAAATGCCTTTAAAAATCAGGCCCAAAGCCACTGCCATTCCAGTGAGAGACTTCGTTGGTGCTGCAATTCTAGACATCAGTTGGCTTATGTGAAATAAGACCGGCTTTTAAACTAGATCTCACTTTGGTTGCATTTTATGTAACATTTTATAAAAGTCTCTATCAGAATTTATAAATCAAATAAACCAGAACTTTAAAAAAAAATCTAAATAATACTCACTTCCCTGGGGATTAGTTAGAACAAAGCCAAAAGAGAGACTGCACAAAATGGAACTTTTTACTGGAAATGTTGAAGTCCAAACTTCCTACCTCCTGTGACCAGTCTGGATGGAGAAACTGACTTGTCTCCTTGGGCTAAGATAGAAAACGTCTCCCTCTTAGAAAGAAGAGGGACAGTGACAGCTTTATAGGGACTTCCCTGTCTGGTGGTATCAGATAGTTGGTTGTAACAGCCTGCCTTGATTTGAAATCATCCACATGTAAAAAGTACAAGTAACACACTATTAGATATGCCCCCCTGCCCTGTTGCTGCTAGACTTTCTCCTCTTTTTTAGGTATTCAGAATAGTTATAGGAGCCTGAGTTGACCACACAACATAGTAGTCACATGTCTGGGTTTAGTTTCTCATATTTGATGGCTTCAGTAATTAAGGCACATTCACACCTCGGAGAAGACTGCAGGAACTGCCTCTTCATATCGCACAAAGC